GTATTGCCCCAACAGACTGACAACCTGCTAATAAAACTACTTGTTAAGATTTAAGATTCTAACTAATCTGAGTTAATAATTCAAGTTTTAGATGTCTAAGTAGCCATTTTTTTGTTTGCTTCTTCCTTTCCTTTGCTGTGTGTTTTACTAATTCTAGTTTGATTTTCCTTCAATAATTATGCATAAATGATGAAATAATCATTTGCCACAAATCAATCAAGTAATAGGAAGGGCACTGTAAGTGTTTAGTTTAAGAACAGAATTTTAGGACAAATAATCATTTAAATCATAAACAGTAACACTGAATTTCAGTAAATGTCACTGTGGTCTGTTCAGTAATAGCCATACAATCATTGAACTTATATTATTTCAATTGTCTACGAACTGATTTAAGTTTTCTAATCTGGGATATTTGTTTAATGAGATGTAAATTAGACATAAAAGGATTTCATTTTAATCTATTCCAGCATTCTGCATATTTTAGTATAACTAGAACCAAAATAAAACCCTACAGTCATTACAAAACCGTCAGTTTCATAGGTACCAGAGAGTGACCTTCAACCTATTTGTTCATTCTTGATTCTAGCTGCCAGACTGATCCTCAATGTAAATTTGAAGCAGTTTAAGATGAAAAAGAAAAACAGAATTTGAATTCAATTAAGGGTCAAAAGAATTCCACTGGCTGTCTCTCCCACATACAGATGCCTGCATACCAAATCTGCTCTAATCACCTGTCCTAATATGCGCACATAGAAGTAGACAAGTCCACAAAGTAAATGGATCATAGCAATAGCATTTAGACTTATAGGCTGCTTCATAGTGCTTTACAGCCCTCTGTAAGTGGTTTACAGAGTCAGCATATCATGCTATGTTCTCAGGCTATCCAGTAAGAAAAGGGGAAAAATGTAGATATTAGGGTAAAGTAGGGAACACTTCCATTTGTAGGAGCACTGAAGCCAAAAGCTCTATGTACATGTCCAGGTGCAGCCAGCCAGACACAGCTTTTGAAGCACTGAGCTTTTCAAAGGAGATAGTGCTTTGAGGCTAGTTCACCCATGCTAAGATGCTTTGCGAAGCCTCTCTTTCTAAAGTTGTGAGGAAATGCAGTCTATGTCACAATTTCAAACAGCTGAATCAATCCAAAACAGATGGAATTGTTTATCTCTTAAAACTTCTGAGAAAAAGTTGAAGTACAGTGGCTGATTTAAGAAAGCTGCTGAGGACATCAGAAACTTTTGCAACCTTGGAATTTTTGCCAGATTTGGAAAGGCCAGCCTCAAAGACAGAGCTATTGAGCTATGACTTGATCCAATCTCAGCTCTTTAAAATATCTGCTTTGCCTGAAACAATTCTAAACTGAAGTCTGTGAAATTTCCTGGCTTTCTGTAAATGTGATCAATCAGGGCTTACTATCAAGGTCTAATCTACACTTGATCTAACTCATATATTCTCTTATTCTTTATTATTTTAGGGAGGTGGGGCTTACTTTATTCCTAGAATATACAAGAATCATAATTAAAAGGTGTATGTTTATGCTTTAGTGGTCATGATAATCTGTAAAATTGAAAAGAATCACCCCTCCTATGGATTATTCTAGGTTGCTACCTGATACATATTTAGTATCAGCAGTGAAGGTATAATCAATGAAATATGCATTGAACAACACCCTTATCTTACTGTATTCTCATTTGAAATTATTACATTTTTTTCAAATCATAAGGATAAGGAATTTTTTGAAAACATAATAAAAACCCACAGAGTGCTCCTGCCTAAATCAAACTGTTTTAGCATATCATCAAACGTGTACAATGCGTCTCTAAGACTCTTGTGAATTTGCAGACATCAGTAAGGCACCAACAGTGTATTCAAAGAGACTGAAAATGTTCTGCATGCCACCTATTTTTTTCAGTCTATGTAGTTCTGCTTTGATTCATCATATATTCTACCTTTTACAGACTTTCTGTAGCAAAAAGAGATTTTATATAAATGCCAGGTGAGCAAAACCTCTACAAATGGCCACCATTGGTGGAGATGCTGATGCAAGTGATAGAAACGGGTGCTAATTAAGGTCTGATAACCTTGAATAAGGAACCAAATATTTGTACTATAATTAGATACTCTGATCTCAGCCATGTAGAGGAAATAAATCTTAGGCATGGAAGCCAGAAAGTACAAAGGATTCCAAATCATCCCAGCTATAATAGGATGCCCTTGGGCTTATTCGGTTGTCCACAGGGTATAGTCACGAACCTTTGATTTTCAGCCCTACATTCAGAGCTACATCCAAATCCCAGCTTGAATAGCCCTAAAGCATTTTAATCATATGACATAAAATATCCATCCTGAAATCTGAGACACATAAATTTTACATAAATTTCTTTACTCTTCTTAAATGAGATGCATCTGCATTTATTTCTAAATGATACTACTAGCTCTTTCTCAATGACTTTATGTATTAGGAACTGAGAAATATTTATTTTTGAACTAATCCCACATATTGGCAGAAAAAATATTGTTGTTTTAAGTCAACAAAATAATTGTTGGTAATCTTACATTTTACTTATATTCAAAATTCAAAAGATTTGTTACCTTCTAGAGTTCCCATCAGCAGAATGGACGATGAAGATTGCTTAACTAAACAATCTTACCAGACACAATTCGATCAAATATCTTTTTCTAAATAGATTGCAGAAAGTGATAAAAGGCACTGGATATTTAGTTAACTACAGAACGCTTTGATGACTTTTGGTTACTATTAAATGTGTCAGTTGGTCAATTTTTTAGATTTCTATGAAGGATGCATAGTTGAGAGTAGAAAGCACTTTTTAATATTTTTATTCTTAGTGGATGCTTCGAGATTTAGACAGACCATATTGTTCCTCTAAAATGAGGGCTGTACAAACAAATTATTTTTTTTTTTGCTTTTGGCACAGCAGTTTCAGAAACTAATGAACAATACCTTAAACAGGTACAGTTTGAGTAAGAAACATACTTTGCATCCAGACTATGCCGTCTATGAACAGAACGGTTTCTTTAGTGTATGTAAGTGACCAACATCTAGTAAGATGAGAAGAAGAAGAAAAAGCTTGCCTTCAGATCTCCCAATATCATGGATTCCCTTCATCTCCTACATTGTTCCTCAATTTTTTTTTTTTAAAAAAACAACTTTTCAGGATAGACAATGTACTCCAAACAAAAAGTTAGAAAAAAATGTCCATGATCTGGTATCTGCTTACAGGACCTTTGGATACAAGCTATTTTTCCCCAGGAATTATAATTCCTGAAGCAGATACAGACATCACAACTCTGTACTCAATTTCCTCCATTTTCACATACCGTATATGGTTTTCCTAGTTATAGATTTCTTGTTCCCTTGGATGTCAATGAGATCATGAAATATTAGTGTCAAGTCCTGCAAGAAACCTAGCTGACGCCATCTTTGCCGTTCGTTCTCATTTGCCGCATAAAGGGGGGGATCAGGTTGCTTTTACTTTTGTTAGACTAAACATAGAATAATCCTGTGGGAACCAAGGTCATTCTCTCCAGACTCTGAAGGGAGTCTATTATGCTACTATTAGTTTCGGCTGAAATTCACATTTCTGGCTGCTGTATAAAATAACAATCAAAACTGCAAACAGCACTATCATTGGCTTATATTTAGTGTGACAAAACTTGACTATTCCAGCCATGTCCAGCAAAAATCTCATGCTTCCACTCCATCTTTGATCCTAAACACACACATGCTAAAAATAAGAAAAATAAAATAAAATCTGCCCCTAAATATTAGAGGAAACTGGAGAACTCCAATAGAAAATATAATTTGAATGTTAATAGTAATGCCTAGAACCAGATAAGATATTAACTGTCATGAACTATAAGTCTTTGTTAATGAATGATCTAAATTTCAATTTTATTTTACTTTCCTCTATGTTCAGGAATGTGTACATACACAACTAACAGCAGGCAACCTTTTGCAAGCATCATAACCTTCCATAATATACATATTTTTAAGAATGTTTAAAAAATTGTGGACTAGATTGGGCAATACGAAAAAGTACATATTTGAGAGTAAGTGCACTCTACTTCACACACAGATCTCAGGAGTACAAGCTAAGGAGCTATTAGTAAGAATCAGAACGGAATGAATTGTTATTATATCTTCTTTTTGAGCTTTTTACCTCAGATTCCTTTGAATTGAACTTACTGCTTAAACCAATCTGTGCGGAGGACTAGCAGCCAATCAGACACTTTTATATGAAAATAGTCTTCTTCTTTTTTAACCAGAGGTTTGACTGTGATCAGAGACACCATTTTCAGCTTAATTTAACTAAGTCAGAGATGAAAGATGAATCACATTTAATGGAAAATACTTGAATGATGTCATGCAATATAAGTAATGCACACACACACACAATTTTCATTTTGTTTTGTTTTGATTGAAACATTATTTCCAGATTCAATGCATGTTATAATAATGAAAAACCAATGTTTTTATTCAGAATTATAAGGGGTCCTGAAAAACACCTTTCTTCAGCTTTGCATCAAAGAATGTGGTGTGTTTCCAAGGTAAAGGTAAAAGGTTTCCCCTGTTGAGTTGTAGGGGCAGCGCTCATCTCCGTTTCTTAGCTGAGGGAGCTAGTGTTGTTTGAAGACACTTCCGTGGCCATGTGGCCAGCCTGACTATATGCCAAGGCACACAGAATGCTATTATCTTCCCACTGAAGTGGTACCTATTTATCTACTCGTATTTGCGTGATTTTGAACTGCTAGGTGGGTAGGAACTGGGGCAAGTAGCAGGACCTCACCCTGTCACATGGCACTCAGGTGTCAAACTGGGCTTTCCAGCCGACAAGCTCAGTGTCTTTAACCATCTTCATCATTTAGTAATTTAGTAATTTTACCATTTTATAAGTCTATGAAACAAAATGGCTAAAATGCATAAAAAGCATTTTAAACAACATTGTTCTTGTGGGTTTTTCAAAAATTGCAACAATACATACCTCCCAATCCTGGTCTTAGACGGTTATCATAACCATCAAGTAAACGATCCAGAATTCGGGTGAATATAGTTGTGTTGTCCTTTATTTCATCTTGTAAGGAAGTTTGTCCATAGCTGAAAACAAAACCACCATGTTATATGCTGATCAATGCCCCAAATAAAGATACTCATGCTATTAACTTAAGTAATTAATCCACCAACAAACTTGTCCAATTATAATTCTGAAACTCACTTGATCTTTCTTCTACTGATTAATAGATATGGAAGCGCTTCCATTAACCTGGATTATGGGAATATTATACAGCTCCTTCTCCTTTCACTTTTGAAGTATTCATATTCTTTCAAAACCTTATGTCAATCCTAGATAATAAATTACACTGGGGGTTTTATTGTTCAGCCCATCTTTTATGTATTTCTGATTTATAAATGAGTGCTTTGCAAGTATATCAGAGCATCCTCCCATTATCTACCCAATCCTAAAATAATTTAGTATCCTTGCCTATAAGAAAAATACACTGAACATTATGAGCACTAATAGATCTATATAATGCAACTTCGTTTATATACTGGTAAAGTCCACAGTACCTATTGTGGGGGGGGAAATTCAATTATTTTATTATGTTTATTAAAATGCATTTCCTTTTTAATCTAAATATTTTGGACTATTTTGATACTTGAATTGGTTTAGGAAAGCAAAACTAATTAATTTCCTGGTGAATAGAAAATTCCATTTTAGGGTGACAGGGATATTTTCCCCATTCTTTCCAGATTTTATAACAATAGCCCAGGGAACTGTATCCATGTTCCTTTTTCAGTAATGATTGTAGCATGATTCTTAGTGGCAGTTAACATTCCTGAAAGTATATATATATATTGCGTATGTGTATATGCATGTTCATATCTGTGTGTAGCAAAATATTTTCATATCCATAGCAAATAATTTCCAGGCATTTGTAATAGCCATGAGCTATGTTTTGGTCTCATCCTCGGGTCTCTATTGTTCTTGTTATTAAGACTGTCCTATATTTTCTTTTCTACAGCAAATTACACTGCTTTCTACTAATTATCTATCACGGTTGTTTCAGAGCCAAATCCTGGAGTCCTTCCTCTGCCCTTTAGCCAGGGAAGATCCCATTTGTAAAATGTGATGTTTGCCAATGTAAACTCAGCAGGACTTAGCCCTTGAACATCCAGTTGTTTCCTTCTTCATCATTTTGTCACATATCTTATTACTGAATCAGCCTTCCTTGAATATCTGATGTGATCTGATTAACAAACATAGTTTGGTGAAAAATCTCTTCCAGGCTATGGAGCTTCATAAATGTTAATCCAGGAAATATCACTTTTAAGCAATGAATTATGCAATCTTAAAAAATAAGCTTCCCTAAATAAGTCTGTGTGTTGTGTCTAACCAGTAGTCATAATAGAAAAAAAGCAACTTTTATAATAAATATACATACAGTACATGTTGTGTGTGTGCTATAAATTTGAACGTGAATCCCCAGATTAGAAAAGCAAACTTTATTCATATTTTGTTCATATTTTTATAATAATTTACATGCCTTTAGCCTAATCTATCATTAGCAATAACATTTAATTGTTTATTAATAATACCTCATCTCTAGGGGACTATATGTTACATTTCTGTTTTAAGTGTAAATTGGTAAGCCGATGGATATTTCTTCTTTTGATAGTAGAGAACTTTCTATATTTATTTTAAATTTAAATTTAGAACCAGAATGAGCTATCTTATACTATTTGGTTAAAAAGAAACAAGTGCCTTCATACATTCAAGATGGAATCCACTTCCATGTTGCATCATCTGTCAACACTTGTTTTTAGCGGGTGGTTGGGTGGATAGCAATTGAAAGTTATTTTCACTTCCGAAAACTAACCATAAGTGTGTCATTAACAGCTAAGACTGGCAGAAAGTACCAAGCTTGCAATTCCCTGTATTTTATTTTATTTTATTTTCCTAAGCGCACAAAAAATTTCAAGAGAGCGATTAAAAAGAACAAAAAGAGGATAAAATTGCAGACATTATAAAATTAGTTTTAAAGGTTCAGAATGGCATTAATATAAACTTACATATTAAAATATCATCCCAGTTTGAGGTCCTCTGACAGTACCAAAGTCAGGATTGAAATCAGATTGTTATAATTATCAACTGTACAGCCATTTTGTAAGACAAAATATTCCCTTGTATTTTCACACAGACATTCAGTCAAATAAAGTACAGTCAAACTCTTGCCGAAATGTAATGAAATCCTACTCTTTTTGTAATGCATGAAATGGAATCATTTCTAATTTTTCTAGGTATCAAATTTTAGCACAGGTTTGCACTATCTAAATGCAAGCTGGGGTGTCTTCTGAGACTACCATTATTTTTAATACCAACACAGCTGATTGAAAATCAGCCTGATCCTTAGAGGTCAAATTGAATTTAAGCTGGGTTTAACCATGGATACCACTCCAAAAACCACACATTTCATGGAAGTTCCCTGAACAGTGAAGGCCTTCAACAGCATTGAATTCAGTGGGCAAGCTTATATTTTTACATACATACACATATTGAAAAGGCAAGTGTGAATCTGATATACCAGTAATAAAATAGAGATGTGATTAATTTAGGAATGGGACTTTAACTATATCAGAATTATCAGATTCCAGATAAATAAATGTGCTACTATTAATTTCTAAAAAAAAATATACAACTATATTCATATATCCATTTAATTTACAATAAAGTGCTCATGGTCAAATATTTATGTGTTCATGTGAGCAGTCACATGTTTTGCTAGTATTTAGTACCTTAACATTAATATCCTGATCCAAATAATAATACAATATGAAATATTGTCCAGATTTTTAACTTTTACTTAGCTTTGAGGAAGGAAGGAAGGAAGGAAGGAAGGAAGGAAGGAAGGAAGGAAGGAAGGAAGGAAGGAAGGAAGGGTCTTCTAGATACTTTGAACAAAACTGGTGGCCATTTCATTCCTTGCAATTTTTTTCCCTTGCTATTGATTTGTTAGTGGTTAGAAATCACCCGCGAGTAAAGATTGGACAAATGTGTTATCTAAAAAATGATTCTTTTTTAATGTAGAGTTTAAGTAATTTGAAGAAAAATGTCATTTACCATGTTTGTGTTTCACAGTAAAAAAAAAGTATAATAAAACACTGTACACTGACTCCATCTACAGGTCATTATAATAGTAACACCTCATACAATTTTTCAAAAACCAGGGAAATGCTTCTTGATTTTCTGGTCCAAATCTTAGTTCTGGTGAAACATGCAAGCCAGCACATGGCATAGAGAAAATGATAAAGAAATAGACTTTCTGTTCTCTCTTCTCTTCAAGGAGATCAGCTTTTTCTTCTTTCATCACTGATTTGCTATATAAAGTATCACATTCGTATATCTTTTTATGTTCTCTTCTTTTAGAAAACATGTAAAACTAAATTGGATTGTCTCTGACACTCAAATTCTTTTTACAAATATATATTAGGTATAATAAGGTTAATTTAAATTACTCTTCTGAACGACGGATATGGAATAAGGCAATTACCAGTGCGCAAATATTGGTATTTGTAATTTAAAGGAAAATATGTATTTTTCATTCATTAGTTCTATTGCTAATAGAAATGCAGTCTATATAGATAGATTTCAGCATAAGAAGACTTTCCATTTACGATTCAGGCAGGGTTCAGGCAGGTGAAGTGAATTTCATCCAACTAATGTTAGTGACAGTCTTACCAATGAACTTACTGCGTGTAGGCTGCATCCTTATCATGCAAACTCTCTGCTGAAATGAAATGTTCAATTCATAGGTATAATAACAAGACCTTATTGTTATAAACTTTATCTCTCCTGAAGTCTACTTTCATGAGGAAAAGAATCTGTCAGCCTGGTCTCATTCCTTCAGTGAAAGCACAAGATCATAGGAGCAGAAAAATTCCTATGTAAAATGCTATATGCAGCATAACTGCTGGCAAACTTTATCTGCAAAGAGGACTTATTCACATTGAAATCATTAATCTATTTGCAGCTTGGATCAAATAATCCTTGCTAAACTCTTTCTCAACAATTCCACCTAAGATGTTTTGCAATCAAGCTTTGGTTTTATTTTAATTTTCTCCTATTTTGGCTTAGGTGAGATTTAGGCAGAATCAACCTGCCCCCAAAACAGTATGCATGAATCAAACCTTTTTCCATACTTGCTTTTAAGCAGTGATAAAAGACAACCCAATTTTTTTTAAGTAAAACTCTTTTTCCCACCTTTTTCCAGATAAGGTGCTCATAAGAAGAACCCAGGCCCAAAAGCGGTCATAAAGAAGATGCATCATTTTGCTAGTAGATTATGGAAGCTGAAAAAAAATAGAAAACCAGAAGTAAGCATTCTTTGCTTTGACAAATTGTTTGAAAATACAACAGGTTTAAAAGAACTTGTGATGATTTTCCTTAAAAGCAAGGAGTCATCTCACAGTGGTATGACTTTCAGAGGGAAAAGCCCCTTCCAGGTATACTTATGTATTTCATTTTCTTCAAAGTGAGGTCATCCCTGAGTTAGTTTCATAGGCAAAGGTTAAATCATTTTATTTATTTATTTTCAAGAGTCTTGGAATTCAAGTGTCTTTATTATATTTTTCATCCCTAAAAAAAGGATTACTGTTAAGTTTACAATTTGTACATCCATTTTACAATAACACGGAACTTAGAACCTATTTTAGCTTTAATGAGTCAGATCCCACCCGCTTGATTATCTCAGGAAAAAGAGAAGAAAGATCTTCTCCTAAAGTCCTTGAAAGCTCTAGAAGGTCCTGAAAAAGGACAGAACTTTCTTCTGGAGAGAGATCCAAGCATATGTCCATTTAGCAAGCTAGTTGAACAACAGCATACATTTCAAAAGCTGAACAAGGTACACAATTTCAATGCTTTCTTTGGCTAGTATTAGTCCCATTAATCCCCAAAGCATATGAAATGAATATGAAATAATGATGAAGATTGTTGCATCCACATTGCCTTCAAACCTTATCCTTCCTTCCTTCCTTCCTTCCTTCCTTCCTTCCTGCCTGCCTGCCTGCCTGCCTGCCTGCCTGCCTGCCTGCCTGCCTGCCTGCCTGCTTGCCTTCTAGAATATCCTGTTGCAAAATATTCCATATGGTACCTTTTCACTCTATGACTGAGTCCAGTTCAGTTCCAGTTAAGATGTTTTCTAAAAGCAAACCTGCCCTATGCTTCCCATCACCACTCCTTGCAAACTTAACTGGTAATTTTGCAAGGCAGCCTGACTGTTGTAATTCTGTTTATAGCTCAGGCTTAGCTGCTTGCTCCTTGCTCCCTACTTACTGCTGAAATCCACTTTGGTTGCACTGTTCCTACCAGATATGTTCTTCCTCCTCCTCCTCCTCCCTCCATCCTCCAAACCTCCTTGACAGCCCTGAAACTGACTACAGTTTAGGAGAGAAGCAGAATTCCAGACAACATAACCACCATCGCACAAAGAGGCAGAGAAGAAGAAAAACTAACAGGATGGTCCTTGTATATAAAATGTCCGAAACCTACAGCGAAAGGCAGGGCAAGGTGAACAAAATGATGACAGGTGTCCAGGTGGAGTGTAATGGATGGAGGTGCACAATGCTGCTTCTCCTGGAAAAAAAAAAAGAAGAAGAAGAGTGTTGCATCTCTAGGAGAGATGAGAAAAGCTCCCACTTCTTTTCAGCCTGAACTTTTGCACTGAACCTCCTCTAGCAAGTCATTTCAGAGATACCGGCAGATGGCAAGATGCTTTTTTTTTTTTATTACTCTACATTTCTCCCATACCACCATCCTTAAAATAATTAATGGGGATGGTGGGGGGGAGTGAGATACATTGCTATAGTTGCTTGTAGATGAGGGGAGGAAAGTGGGAAATCGCCAAGTGCGAAAATTTAAGCCACAAACAAACAAGTCGACCAACAAACCAATCCGCTTCTGATCCTTTCCCAGCCGCTGCATTCTGACCACCCTGATTTCGGAACAGTTGAAATAAAAAGAGCAAAAGCGAAATCCCAGCCTATCTCTTCCCCACTATGGGCACATCCGTTCAAACCTGGAGCCATCATTCAAGAGGCATTTCTGCCTTAAGTGATTTTTGCCTGCTTCAGAGCCAGAGATGGAGACTTGGTGGAGAAAAGAGGAGGGGGGAATGGTGGTATTCATGGATTTGCAGCCAGCATAGCAACTTTCTTCTCCTCTCCCGGAAAAAGTCATCCATTGCCCCCAATCCATCCAGCTCTGGTTGGAAACGTCTGAAATAATCCCTGTTAATCCCAGGGTCCCCGTTTTAGCCTTCTCTCTCCCCCCCTCCCGCCCATCAACCCACTCCCCTTCCCCTCGATTCTGATCAATTGCCCATCCACCGCTGCGGATTTTCACCCGGGGTCGGGGGGGGGATGGGGGAATGTAAGGGGGAGAAAGCTGGGTCCAGCATTCCGACGAGGTACCTGCTAGGGAAGAAGGCAGCAGCAGGAGCCCCCTCCGTCCATAAATGCTCCGCCTGTGAAAAAGGGAGCGGGCTGGCAAAGGGGAAGGGGAAGGGAGGGGAGCCTGGAAAAATAGGAGGCTAGAGCGATACTCACCTCGCGACCCTCTGGGCACGGCGTCGCCGATGCAGCGGGAAAGTCTGCCCGAGAGGCTTCGCCAAGAAGCCAGGGTGGCGAGGAGGGAAAAGGGCGCTTTAGAGCACTGAGTCTCCGCGGCTCTTCTCAGTCATTCAGGAGCTCTTAGCCATCATGGACTCTGCCGCCGCCGTCGCCGCCGCCGCCGCCGCCGTTGCCGCTTTGCTCTTCGATTTTTAACACCCAGATTCCCTTTCCGTGGGATTCGGCTCGCAGCTCTACAACAAAAAGCTTTGCACTTTACCAAGACAGTAGTAGTACGTCCCGGGGTAAACCGGATGTGAAATAGGCTGTGACTTCATGCCAGGGAGATTTTATTTTAGAAAGGAAGGTGGTACCAAGCTCTCATCTAGAGACCAATCCGCCCATATATTTTTTTTCTCCTCCAAATATGCAGCACAATTTAACTTCAGCGCTTCTCGCCCTGATCTCTTTCTCTCTCTGGCTGCATGCTCAAAGCCTTTCTACGCTCTGCATCACGATGGCTGTTGCTGTTGTGGTGCTTACTGTGGCAGAAAGGAAGGGAAATATTTTGGAGACCAGATGGAGGAGAGAAACTACACTTACAATCTTCAGAGAGTTGCGACCGAAAACTGGCGTGGAATAATGATAACCGTCACTAACCACCACCCTCACCACTCATCCGCCCCATTCTGCCTCCCTTCTTATTCAGTCTTTGGATAAATATTCTCCCAGTTTATAAATATACAGGGTACCTAGAAGAGATTAAAGATCCCCTCCTCCCTCCCCCCCCCCCCCCCCCCCCCCCCCCCCCCCCTCTCTCTCTCTCTCTCTCTCTCTCTCTCTCTCTCTCTCTCTCTTTTTTCTTTTTCTTTCATGGACCCATTCTGTATGTTTTGTGATTTCACTGGAAAAGTCTTGTGCAGCCAGAGAGGCACTGGGTGGTTGACTGAGGCTTCAAGAAAGGTCTGGTCAAGTCAGAAAATGCTTATGCCATTCTACATCTTTGGTTACTCTTAATTGGCAAGTAACATTTGTCTAAAGTGATCTTTACAATATTATGAAGAAAGGCAAGCTCTATTGGGAAGGGGCATGTTTTGACAAGGATGTGTGTGTGTGCCAGTTCTGTTTCTGAATGAGCAGTTCACTTACTTTGCCAAATGGTGCAGGAGAATAAGTAATAAAGGCAGCATTAAAAAGAAAACACTATCCTTTAAAATCAGTTTGAATGAAAGCCCATTACCAGCTAAGCATCCTTTTAATGCCGTTCATGTTCAAGGAAGATCTCTCACTCTTCACAGTGCCCAGCACAATAAGAAAATCAATTGGACAATAACAAACTATTAGGCCTTAAATGCTGGACTTTCTCTAAGTATACATATATCTTCCTATAGCTATATTGCCTTCCTCCTCCTCTTCCTTACCACTCAGCTGCTCATTTTATGAATGGATACATTTCTAAAAGCAAAAAAAGCAGCTGATTAACAATGGAGCTCTCCATGGTACTGGAAAGCCTAAAGGGAAGGAGGTACTCTTTTTAGGCAGCCCCTAACTAAACCTAGTGAACAGAATGGGGGGATGCTTTTTTTGCACAGAATGCAAATCTCCCAAAAAGCTAATAACTAGGAATTTCTAAGAAAAATTGCTTTACTGGATATAGTGGTCTGTTATGAAATATGTGGGCATTGGAAAAGAGATGATAGAATTGTCCTGAGTTGAAAATAAAAATCATTGGCAATAATTCATGTGAATAAGAAAGCAATACAACAGGATAGATAAAGAGAATGAGAGAGTTAAAATGGGGGCTTTTTGCTAAGACTCTGAAAGATTTGGGGGAGTCATAGTCATTCCCCTTCATTCTTTCTCACCTTACTATGTGTCAATGTCATTTCCTCCCTCTCCGGAAAGAAAATTGCATCATTTTTTAACCAAACCTCCCATATTCTGCAACTATTCAGAACCTTTTCTGATGCTGAGATTTTGTAGTTCAATAATTTCTCAAAGCCATTATCAGGATTTATATCCGTATGAAAAAGTTGATGAAGATGTTAACCTCTTGGGTGGACTTTTTGTTAGCAATTTCCAAACTATCAGGGTATACCTAATCTTGGGAGGGTGACAACAGCAGAAATATAGTGTCTTCTCTGAAGCATGAGATGAGGGTAGTAATAAAATATAGATGTATGGGTTTTTTCTTTATAAGCCAATCTTTAACACTGCTCATAAGTTAATTACACCTAAGGAAAAGAAGAACAAACCAACACCTCTTCCCTTGCAGTTGTTATAAACCTCTGCATGTCAGGCAATTGTAATAGAGGAAAGCCTACTCAATCTACAGAAGCTTTTTCCTGTAATTTAAAATGCTTGAATATTGGCATTCTAAACTCATAGAGGATGCCTTAATAAAAGAGGATATATTCCACAGATAGTTGCCTACTCTGGTAAAGGGCAAAAAGAATAGCAATTGAGTTCAGCCCTGTATCTCCTCCTACCGGCTTGTGAAATTTATGCCACAAAAAAACAAAATAGAGGTATTGGGAAAGAACCCTGCCCTTCCAACAATATTAATACCAGAAACTCGTGAAGCAAATCTCATGCCCAAGTCAAAGCTCCAATACAGTGGCCATTAGGATTAGTCTAGTGGCTTGCCAGATGTAAATCAAGAGAACAGAAGTGACATTAAAGAAACCTCCTCTGGGTATAGGCTTGCCAGTTGTGTTTTTTCT